AAAGCTTTCCTTCTGTGACTGTTATTCTCTTCTCCTGGTTCAATAGAAGTTTATTGCTGCATACATCCCCCTAGCCCAACAAACAAGCAATTAATCCTTTACTTAATCTCCTGCTGTTTTAGGACGAGGTGGTGATAAGTGCCAGAGACTGCAGTCTATGGCCTAAGAAGAACACAGAAGGCAGGTCAGGTACAGTAAGATAGTAAGTTAGACTTACATAAGTAAACATTATTATTATCAACCCTAAATACCTCGTAAAGCAAAGTCTTACCTTCTACCAATGCTCTTCTCCTGCCACTGCCTCAAAAAGAACCAACAAGAAGGAAGACCCCCCTGCCAGGGCTGCCCCCCCAAAAAAGTGTTAAAAGAATCAGGTCTTGGATGTGATGTCACATGTGTCTATCCAAGAATTTGGAAAACAGGTCTCTGAGTTTGGGACCAGCTTGGTCCACCCAGCAAATCCCAGGCCAGCCAAGGTGACAGATCAAGACCTTGTCACAAAACATTTTGTTGTTTTGTTTTTCTAGACAGAGTTTCTCTGTGTAGTCCTTACTGTTCTAAAAGTCACTCTGCAACCAGGCTACCCTTGAACTCAGAGATCAGCTTTTGTCTCCTGAGTGCTGGGATAACATTTAAAAAACAAAACAAACAAACAAACAAACAAAAAACCAAAAAACTTTGACTTTGAAGTAGTGAATCTGCTGTGTATTGAGGTCTCTATGCCCTAAGGCCTTGAGGTACTGGATCCTCTTTAGGCAGTAGCAGTAGGAAGATTTGGGGGATCCAATCTTGACAATGTTCTGAGAGACTTGATTCTGGATACAGCACTGTACAGTGTCAAGTCCTCGGGACTGTTCCTGTGTCCATGGGGCACCCGGCCTTGTCCAGTTCAATAAACAACCTAGTGTTGTTGGCAATGAGGGTTGGGTCTGTTAGACTTTAGCTGCTCTTGACTGAGAAAGTTCTGGTGTTAGCTGGTACAACTATGCTGAGCTCTTTCTTGTTATTGGCCCAAGTTGTTTTGGAGTCTGCTTAGTGTTGCTATAGTAAACATGTGAGCTATGAACTTGTGGATAGAAAGGGGGTAGTTTTGCTCACAGTTCAGCAGGTTCCAGTCCATAGTGAGTTAGCTTTGTTACTTTGGACCCGTGTTGAGGGAGCACATGCCCCATGTGACAATAAGACCATGTGATGGAGCAAAGCAGCTCACTTTACTATTGGGTGGTGAACATGAAAGAGGACCTAAGTACGGTGCATGAAGCCATGCTACTCAGGATGCTGAGACAGGAAGACACTGAGTTCAAGGTCAATCTGATCTACACACAGGCCAGTTTGATCTATAAAGCAAGATTTTGTCAAAGAAATATCGAGGAAGGGAGAGAGAAGGAGGGAAAATGGAGGGGGAAGGGGAGGAAGAAGAAGCACAGTGGCCCAGGTTTACAGTCCTAATGCTTGGGAGGGGAAGACAGAAAGATCAGAAATCCAGGGCCATCCTTAGTTACATGGCAAGTTTGGAGCCATCCTGGCCTACATGAGCCCTAAAAGAACCATAAAGAAGGGAGGGAGGAGGGAAGGGGAGTGAGTAGGGAACAAAAGCAGGAACCAGAGTCCCACAATACCCATTACGGATACACCTCCAATGACAGCGACTTAAGATCTCCTATTATGTCCCATCTCATAAAGCTTCCATTGCCCCCACTAGCTCCACGAGCTCAGGATAATGACTTCAATACACAGTCCTTCAGGGAAGGTTCCAGACCCAAGTTATAGCAGGGATTCATGCTCAAACTGATGTATGGCTGATGTAGTTTGCTCCCAGACAGCAATGGTTCTGTTCGACTTTTCGACATGGCCTTGTGTGTTATCCTAGGCTGCCATTGAACTCGTGATCTTCTTGCTTCCCAAGTGCTGAGCTTACTAGCAGGTGTAGCCATCATGCTTTGCTCTGTGAGGTTTGATTTCTGTGTAGCGAGAGCAGTTATTATTTGCTCGTTAGCAAGGCTGTCTTGTGGATCCCAAAGTATGGCATTTTGGGGGCTTTAATCCAAGGTAACTTTGAGTTTTCCACCATTCAGTTCCACTGCTGTACCTAAATGCTTCCATAATTACTTAAACAAGCTCGGCCCAATTGCAATGATTGAGATTATATCTTTTATAAATCTGGTCTACTTGGAAGTTCATTTTCTATCATCATCATCATCATCAGTTTTTTTGAGACAGTTTTTTCTGTGTAACAGCCCTGGCTGTACAGGACTCATTTTGCAGACTAGGATAGCCTCAAACTCAGAAATCTGCTTGCTTTGGCATCCTGCATGCTGGGACTAAAGGCATGTGCCATCACAGCAGGTTTGGGGATTCATTTTCTTTCTTTCTTTCTTTCTTTTTTTTTTTTCAAGACAGGGTTTCTCTGTGTAGCCCTGGCTGTCCTGGAACTCACTCTGTAGACTAGCCTAGCCTCGAACTCTCGAACTCAGAAATCCGCCTGCCTCTGCCTCCCAAGTGCTGAGATTAAAGGCATGCACCAACACCGCCCGGCCGGGGATTCATTTTCTAAGTCAGTTGTTTTCTTTCCTTCAGTTTCCAGACAGTGTAATGGTAGTATGGAGACCATTAGTGGTTAAAGACGTTTGCCTCCAAGCCTGATGACCTGAGTGTGAACTCAAGGTTTCACATGGTAGAAACAGAAAACTGACTTCTGTTGTCCTCTGATCTCCACATATGCCCATACAGATCAAACACACACAGTGAGTAAATGTAATCTCCACATATGTCCATACAAACAAAACACACACAGTAAGTAAATAGGCATAATTGAAAAGTTAAGAATAAAAGACTTAACTTTGAAATAAACTTCTCGCTTTTACACTTTATTGGTCGATCAGAAATTGGATGGTGGGATGCTCCTACCATCCACAAGCCACTCTTCCCAAGTGTTATTGCTGGAGCCACTGTCCTCGTGTCTACCACATCCTGAACTTGCATTTTTGGAAATTTTCTCAAAAGGTACCTGAAAAAAAATGGCAAGCGTGGGAGTTTGGTCAAGTGATGACTTAAAGCTGGGCCTGGTGGTCCATGCTTGCCATCTTAGCACTGGGGGGGAGTGGAGGCAGTTAGACTGGAGGCTCATGGGCACCCTTAGCTACAAATGAGTTAAACACCAGCCTACTTAAGACCCCAATGAATGAAAATCATTGACACTGCTGCTCCAAGGTATGGCTGAGAAGGGTTTATTGTAGATATGAAGGGAAGAACAGCCAGAGGCATTTGGAAGAATCCAGATTGAGCCAGTCCACGAGAGGAGAGGGTGAGGAGAGAGAGAGAGAAAGGAACCAAAGAGAAGGTGCAGGGACCAGGAGACAAAGAGAGTGTGTAGCCACATGGCTGTTTTACAGTGAAGAGATGGGGTGGGGAGGGGCAGGGGCGGGAAGAGAAGCTGAAGCCCAGCCCCTGGGAGGGAGAGGTTTAGGGTGGCACCTGGTGAGAAGGGCTGGGAGGAGCCACAGGGACTGAGAAGTGTTTCTTTGGGATCTAACACTTTCTTTACCAAAATAAAACAGAAGAACACAACACAAGAGACTGGCTGTTGCAATAGAGAAGCTTTAAGAGCAAAATAACAAGCTCTTCTCCCGTGCTCCAGCAAGGTACCTAAATTCCGGTCAGAGCTTCCAAAGAAAGGTAAAGGGCACAGAGAATATTCCTTCCTATCTAAGTTACAAGGCAACTGGGTCCAGAACATGATCAAAAACAGTTCCTGTACAAGTGGGTGTCTTGGCTAGTTCCTGCTCCTTCAAAGAAGAATGTTTTTTTTGAGGTTAAAATAGGTTTTCTGTGTTGGGGAGAGTTTGAGAGTGCCCTCCAATGATTAGACATTTATTTACTTGGTGTGTGTGTGTGTGTTTGAAGAGGACAACTTGTGAGAGCTGGTTCTTTCCTTCCATCAGACTGTCAGTCAGTCTTGGTGACAAACCCTTAACTGCTAAACCATGTCAACCTCTCTCTTTAAATGGGTAAGAGCCCTCCACTCCACTACAGAAGATACTCTTTCAAAGAAATAACTTACAGAACTAGATCCAAGTTCCTTCAGAGTGTTAAGTGGACTTGCTGATCAGGTGGAGAAGCAGCTGCTGAAGCTACAAGGTGAATTCTGGCCTCTTCAAGATTGCTCAAGACCAGATCTTCCAGATACTCACTGGGAGGATAGGATAGTTGTTAGGGAGATCATGCACAAAGATTTCACGAGGTTTTTTGAAGATTATATATATATCATATATGTATATATATGATTATATATATATTTTAAAGATTTATTTTAGGTATGAATACACTATATTCAGATACACCAGTAGAGGGCAACAGTTCCCATTACAGATGGTTGTGAGCCACCATGTGGTTGCTGGAAATTGAACTCAGGACCTCTGGAGGAGCAGTCAATGCCCTTAACCGCTGATCCATCTCTCCAGCCCCGAAGATTATTATTTTTACTTATTAATATTTATTTCAATTATAGCCTTATTATTTTTTATTTATTGGATTACATACTTTCTACATTCTTTCACACTCAGTTTATGTGTGCTCTTTGTTGAGCAACAAGCAAAGTATTAGTTTCCTTCCTTGACTGAAGTATACATATACATAAATATGGGGAAGCAAACCGCGCCATTCACTGGCCCCGGCCTGTATAAGCCACGTGTCGCTAAGGCGCTACCCTCCACCGCCCCCATACACTCGGCTGTCTTCTTAGATGCCTATCTGCGAGTCCCCGCCTCCTCAATTGGAGCTGCCTATCAGCGGGCCTCCAGCCACGTGCCGCTGAAGCCCCCACGTAGGGCTGTTTCCAGAGATGCCTAGGTGCGGGCGGCAGGGGAGGCCCCGCTTTTAGTGTCTCGGGGCCAGCGCGCGGCACGGGACTGTGCGCGCGACTCCTCAGGCATTGCGGCGGGCAGCTCGGGCTCTGGTGCGCCGCGGGTGTGGGAAGACCCCGGCGCCAGCCGTGGCGCAAGAGCCGGTGGACGCGGCAGTAGCGATAGCGACGGGCGTTGCGGGCTAGTCTGCTCCTTGTCTGTGGGTCGTACTTCTTCGGCGGTGCTCCGGTGCTGACTGATTGTAGGGCTGACGGCGCCATGTCTGTGAGCGAGATCTTCGTGGAGCTGCAGGGATTTTTGGCTGCCGAGCAGGACATCCGAGAGGCGAGCCCCCTTCTTCCCCGTCTCCTTTTTTTCTTTTCCTAGCCAGGTTGGGACAATTGGTCCAGTCCTGCTCGGTTTCTCGTTTTCGGGCCCGATGGGTTTAGATTAGGCCGCCTCTCGGTTCTGGATTCGACTTTTCAGCATCTTGTACCTCTTTGAATATCACTTTTCCTATTTCAGCATTCCAGTCCCAGGCTCGGCTAACGCCCGTGGCTAACCAGCACACCTTTTCTATATTGGCTGCTGGTATTTTTTTTTAAAGCACTTGCGATCTTTCCTTAAACATAAGCTCTTTTGGGAGCTTCTCATCCCACATAGAATTTTTTAAAAATCTAAATTCTACTTTGACTCACAAGGTCTCTTTCTCCGCTCTCCTTTTATTTACACTCGTTACTGTGTGTGTGTTCAGATTGAACTTCTTATTTGTCTAGTGCTCTAGATATTGTCCTGTCTGAGGACTCTTGGTTGTACTATTTGCCTTTGCTGGAATTAGTTTATTTTCTGCTCTCTGTTTTCCTTTTGCGCTTGAGACAGGTTTTGATGTGATCCCTGGGTGGCCTCGAACTTGAACCTGTAGCCATCAGCGTTTTCAGTGCTGAAAATTACACGTGCAAAATATCAGTACTTATTTTCACTTTACAACGTAAAGGATTGCTTTTCTGTTAGCTTCTAAAATCGTGAGAAATTAAAAAAAATTTTACCTGTCATGTTTATTAAATTGCTAGTAAGGATTACTTGCTTCTCTGATGTTTGCGAATGCCCATCAGTAAATATGCCCAGAGAATGTTTGTAAAATGAATGAATGAAAATCAGTCAACACTTGTGTTTAAGTTTTTGTTTTATAGACAACATTTACATTGCCAGTTATTCATTTTTATAGTGTCTCAGTTGGGTTCTTGAGCAGGTGGCTATTTTTCTTCCATGGCTACCTAAAGAATATGAGGCTTTTTAGCAGCACCTTGAGTTGTGACAATAAGAAATTACTGGAAGAGTTCGGGTTCACACTTCAAGAATCCCTTCTTGTGAAAGTCCTGGGCGTTGTGACTGAATGTGGGGGTGTGGTTGCATGTTTGTAGGCGTGTGTGCTGAGGATTACACTGACTTTATCTGACTTTTATTTTTAATTCTCTCTAGGAAATACGAAAAGTTGTACAGTGTTTAGAACAAACTGCTCGAGAGATTTTGACCCTACTTCAAGGAGTCCATCAGGGCACTGGGTTTCAGGACAGTAAGTTTTTTGCTTTGATTTTTGAATTTTTTTTTTTTTTTTTTTTTGTCCAATGTATCACTCTAAGTCACGTTCCATTAAAAAGACATGCTGAGTACGCCTTTTCATGTATTGTGAAGAATATTGGTTTGGTCATTTTAAGGATTTATGATATTCTTGATATTTTGATTGCTTTTCCATGTGTGTATAGTGTGGTTTAAATAGGGATGTTATTTTGCTGTGCTAGTCTATTGGTGTGTATGTGTGTGTGTGAACATGAATGTGCTGGTGGGGTAGTTTGCTTGTGAGACAGGAGTCTTGCATTGTTGCCTAGGCTGGTGTTGAGTTGTGTTCCTCTCACCTGAACCTTAGACTTCAATGAGTTTCGTTGTAGTTGGCACATTTGAGTTTTTGTGTGTGTTTTAATGAATGCTTCTCATTATTGAATACCTTTTAGTATACATTTGTAGATAATAAAGTGAATAAAGTGGCAGGTATAAAATGTTCTAAAATTCGTGTATGTAGTCAGCCCTTTGTTGAGATTCTAATATGTCCAGTTAGACATGGAAACCTTTATAAGATTCAGCCAGCATAGCTAAGAGCTAAAGTTACTCTCTGGTACACAGCTTACAGGTTTCCAAGGCAAGTCGTTGATGCAGTGATATAGAATTTATCAATCTGAGAATAGTCAGTAAAGCTCTTTTTTTTTTTTTTGATTATGGGAGGTACAAACAGTTTGATTTTTGGTATCTGAGAACTTACAGTCAAAGTAGCTGAGAAATAATGGTCTCTGATAGGTTATTTAGCAAGAACTGTATTGGCAGTTTGCTAAGCTTTTCATTATTAAATTTTGTTATCTTTTATGATCAGTTCCAAAGAGGTGCTTGAAAGCTCGAGAACATTTCAGTACAGTAAAAACACATCTAACGTCCCTGAAGACCAAGTTCCCTGCTGAACAGTATTACAGGTCTGTAAGAAAAACAGCACTATTTTATAACATTACGTTTTTGTTTAAAGAAAGGAGAAATAGAGGTATTGAATAATTACTTATGAATAGGCAGAAGTCTTTGAAGAAGGAACAACAAAGAGTCGCATTGATAATGGTGGCAGGAAAACTAATGTTTTAATATTTCCTTCTTTTTACTTTAGACAATTTGTAAGGAAACCATTACTTTTATTTATTTATTTTTTTAAAATGATTTATTTATTTATTTTATGTATGTGAGTACAATTATAGCTGTCTTCAGATACACCAGAAGAGATTGTCAGATCCCATTACAGATGGTTGTGAGCCACCATGTGGTTGCTGGGAATTGAACTCAGGACCTCTGGAAGAGCAGTCAGTGCTCTTAACTGCTGAGCCATCTCTCCTACCCTCTGCTTTCCTTTTTGTTAATAAAGATGCTCTTTTAAAGACATACATACAGTTGATAAGTGTGATATGAGTGCTTAGGGCATGGATTGAATACTGCAATTCCCGATGGGCCAACAAGCATTCAAACGTGCGTCTATAGGGGCCATGCCTATTCAAACTACCACAGTTGTCTTGAACCTTTCACCCTCCTGCCTTTACCTCCTGAGCGCTGGCATCACGTACATTTGCCACCGAGCCTAGTGTATGCTATTTGTGGAGGAGAACCCAGGGCGTTGTACGTACTAAGCTGAACACTCTGTCAACTCTGCCCTCATTCATAGTCTTTAGGTTTCTTATTTTCATTTGTCTTTAAGACTATTGAAAACCTTTAGTCAAATTGATAAACATAGTCTTTGGTTTTAATTTTCATTTTCTTAAAAAATTGGATTGTGCTTCTCATTGGTTATACTTACAAGGCTTATCAGATTTATGTCATATCCATTTAATGTATTTGAGTGCTGAGTTGCTTCTGTCTGTTTTATATATTAGAGTTGCCCATTAGGTTTTGTTTGTAGAAAAGCCTTATTTCTAAGGTGTTGGGATGAGTCACGATGAGTGGGTCCTTGTGGCAGTCATTAACCTGGTGCTCGCTTTGCCACTTCTGCAGGTTTCATGAGCACTGGCGGTTTGTGCTTCAGCGACTGGTCTTCCTGGCAGCATTTGTGGTGTATTTGGAAACAGAGACCCTGGTGACCCGAGAGGCTGTTACAGAGATTCTTGGCAGTAAGTGTCTCAGTGTGATCTGTAGAATCCATGTACATTAGCTTAGGTTTTGGTAGGGGGGAGACTATTTCTATCTCTGAGTGTGTGTTCATGGTGTGTGTGTGGTCAGAGGGACAACTCTGGGTTTCTTCCTTAGGCAGTGTCTACTTAAGAACATTACATTTAATAATTTCTGTGCGTGCATGGAAGGTGTGTTGCTCGTGTGGAGCTCAGCACAGCTTGGGTGTTGGTTCCCTTCCCATCATGTCAGTCAGTTCCCAGCATTGAACTGAGGTGTCAGGCTTGCTGGTGAGCACAAAGAGTATGTAGTAGTATCTGTGAGAGCTTGAGGGTGGGGACACCCTCACAAGCTAGAAAAGACTTGTGTATGTATACATTTATTCTTTGTTTTAAATTGCTTTCATAGCATTACTGTCCTTTATTCTGATTTTTAAAAAAATTTTTAATTTTTAATTTTTTTTTATTTTTAGTTGAACCAGATCGGGAAAAAGGATTTCATCTGGATGTTGAAGACTATCTCTCAGGAGTTTTAATTCTTGCCAGTGAACTGGTAAGAAATGTGTGTGCAAGTACATATTGGGGTTCAGGAGTCACCACCCAAATCACTCAGCCTCCAGTGTCAGTTAAACAGGGCTGGCTTATTGAACACATACCCCAAGACTGATTGATCAGGGCTGTAGCTCAGACTTGGGAGCTGAAAGCAACGACCTGAAACATTTTTCAGGGTCAACTGATAAAGGAAAAAGCCACAATGAGCTCATGTGCAGGTACAGAAAGTATTGCCTGTTGGTTGGTTCTGATTCAAGCTATTTTGGCTAGCTAGACAGAACAGTTTTAACTGACCTTTATTCTGATTGGTCCTAATTGGATCATATGGCTGTAAAACTTCTTAAGATTATCAATCTCAGAACATACAGAACATACAGGGTGTGTGGTTTTGAGTCAAGCTATTTTTCTGGGTCAGGCATGGAACAAAATGGCTATAGCTATGCTAGAGAGGTGGGCTTTAATAGTGTACATCTGGAGGCCAGAGGACAGCCATGTTGTCATTCTTTGTGCTGGCCACCTTTTTTTGGAAGAAAAAAAGTTGTGTTTTGTGTATGTATGTATGTATGTATGTATGTACCTGGAGTGTGCACGGAGGAGGTCATAGGACAGATTTTAGTAGGTTTTCTTGTTCCACCATGTGGGTACTGGAGATGGAATTCAGATCATTAGGCTTGGTGGCAACCATTTACCCACTGAACCATCTTGTAGCCCAGACTTTGAATTCACCAAAATATACATGCCTCTGCCTCCCAAGTGCTGGCATTAAAGGTGTGTACCACCCCCTGACCTATTGAGTACCCTTTTTTGAGACAAGATTTCCTGAAACCCAGATGGGCCTTGAATTCACTATATAACTATATAGCTGAAGGTGACCTTGAACTCTTGGTTCTTCAGCCTGTACCTTCCAAGTGTTGTCATTTATGAAATTTTAATTTAAAAGATTGTAATACCTACCCCTTCCTTTGAGAAGTGTCAAGACGTTTATTTCTGAAACTGTATTAATTCATAGAGTAATTTTAGAAAACAACTGTGTAGGTTAGTGAAAATTTGAGACATTCTCAATATGGAAATGGGGGGGGGCAAATACAGAAGCCCATTGAAAACTTGTATTACCAACTCAGACTTGTTGGAGGCAACTGATTAACAAGCTTGAACCTGAGCTCTGTCATACTGTTAGTGGCTGGGGTGAAGTGTCTTGAATACTGTGTGTTGGAATGTACTCAACGGGTGGTTCAGGGAAGCCTGGCAGAATGGATAGGACTTCATGGGGAAGGAGATCTTGTGAGTTGGGTCTTGAAATCCTACCTGGCCTTCAAGACACTTGAGCTGACTTAATTTTGACTTCTTACTTGTCTGTCTTATTTTAGGTGACCAGATGAACTCTCAGTAGTGCGTTATAGATGTGATCATGTGGTCTATGTTTGAAAAGATAACAGTTACTGTGATTGCTATGACATGTTTTCTGTTCTGTACAATAGCTGCTGAGCTGTGAAAATAACATTTGTTTAATTTAACATAACTTTATTTCATAATAGCCAGCTAAAGGCATTAGAGAGGTTTTAGAAGATGCTAATTATATTCATCACTTGTAGCAGACAGTGCCTCAGTTCTGGTAGCGTTTGTTTCAGAGAACCTTCTGTTTTAATTTGCTTGTAAGTACCTTGAATACAGAACATCAGTTCAGTGGAGGTGTTTAAAGTTGAGCTTCTGGCTGTGATTAGCAAGAAGATGCCGAGGGAGAAACCACATAGTAATGTACCCCATTTCTTTCTTCTTATTCAGTCGAGGCTATCTGTCAACAGTGTCACTGCTGGAGACTACTCTCGGCCCCTTCACATCTCTACTTTCATCAATGAGCTGGATTCAGGTTTTCGCCTTCTCAATCTGAAAAACGACTCCCTGAGGAAGCGCTACGACGGCTTGAAGTATGACGTGAAGAAAGTAGAGGAGGTGGTCTATGACCTTTCCATCCGAGGCTTCAATAAGGAGACAGCAGCGGCTTGTGGTGAAAAATAGGAGCTTTTTCCTGCGGCTGGCCTTGCTGGCTCTGCAGTTGCCAGGGAGGGCTAGCACAGTGCCTCTTCCTGTAGTTAGCACTCCAGTTGCTAAACACTGCGCTTTATTTTCGTAACTAGCTTTGTGGTGTAGGTGTCAGAATTGAAATACTTTTTGGATCTAAAAAGAAGAAAAGGAAAAAAAAACCTTCCATAGATGGTTTTTTTGTTGAAGTCTCAGTGAACTTGCTGTGTTGTTGTTGTATTACCATTTTGTCAACAGTGTAAATGTTGGTCCCTTGGTAAAAGTCCTTTTCTTGCTTACCTGACTGTTGATGTACTGATTGACAGGTTTGTTGTCTTGTTTGTGATTCTCCCACAAGTAAGCAGTGATGTTTTCTAGGTCCAGATTTGTCCTCCTTTCCCAGTTGTAGCCTGGATACAGTGTGAGAATAGAGTGGTTAACAAGGAAGGGAACTTTATTTTCCCCATCTTATGTTAAGCCTTGTAAGTTAGTTGATTTTTTTGCCTAGGAAATTTGAGGCCCCGATTCTCTCCCTGCTACCACAATAGAGCAGATGAAACTGTACAGTCCAACTTAAGGTTAAGGTAGAAAGATACTCTGGTAAAGAGGTGTGGTGATGTCTTGTGTTGGGTTAGAGCACCTGTTTTCTGATGTCACCTTACATCCTGTCTGCCGTAGCAGTTAGTCTTACACGTGTGCACTATATTTGCAAACTATGAGACCTTTTCTCAGTAGCCAGCTAGAACTGGTTTGGGAGTAGAAAGCCATCCTCATGTATTCATTCACTATCTGTACTGAGGAGTATGTTCTTAGAGAAATCAGTGCTGTTTGGTATAGAGGAAAGTAAAATTTGACTTTAAAAAAAATTCATGTGATTGGCAGTATTTTTTGGAATAAGAAATTGCAGGTTGTGATCCTACCAGTACATTTAAAATATATAGTTTAGGGTAGTCACGTAAACTTTGTGGGCTCCTCTATCACCTCTCCTTTCCAGATAGCATAAGAATTCATATCTGGCCATTCTTGGGCTGGAACTGAAATTATTAAAATCCAGGCTGGTGATGTAGGTTTTAGTGGTAGTCTTGCTTGGCAGGTGTGAGGCACTGGTCCATCCTTAGCATTTTAAAAAACCGAAGAAACCCAACAAAATAGTGTGGGTTTTTTTTCGCACCTTCTGACAGGAAGCTGCTGGCATTACCAGTGTAATAGGAAGTATTTAGGGGTGTCACCATTTCTTGCTTGGTAGCAGTTTGGGCTTCATGTTTGTGTAGTGGGATATTTGCCTGAAAGTACAGGCCTGTGCTCCCAGGTACACAGGAGGCTGAGGCAGGAGGTTGGCAAATTCAAGACTTCAGGGGTAGCCTGGCCAATTGAGTGAGATCCTGTGACAAAAAAAATCAGCCAAAATACTGGGGGTATGTTTCAGTGGCTGTTTTCCTCGAATGTTTGAGGCTTTGGGTTCAACCCCTCATTGTGCAGTGGGGTGGGGTGAGGCTGACTCTAGTTTCCCATCTTGAGGGATGAGCTGTGATTGCTTTATATTGTTGGACATGTAGACTAGCCTTCTTCATGGTTCTTTTTGCAGGGTTAGAATAAGGTATTAGGTTACTTTTGCTAGTTTCCCCTTTGAGACAGAGTTTTGCTGATAGTCCAGGCTGGCCTGGAACTCTAACCTCTGTTTCCATTTCCTGAGTACAGGTTTAGGCTCTTGAAAGTGTCTGGGAAGGTAGAAGGCTTTTCAGCTGCATGGTCAATTAGAGACGGGAGGTTCCATAGGCTCTTGCTTTGTTGCTTAAGTGTGTGTTCTGCTAGACATCATTAGGGCTCTTGCCAAAAGTTTCTTATTTTCCTCTTTAGAGACAGGTCGTGATGTCCCACCTACAGTGTTGTCTAGGCTAGTCTCAACCTCCTGGGCTCAAGCCCTCCTCTCGCCTCAGCCTGTGAAGCAGCTGGGACTCTAGGGCAGTGCCACTGTACATAACTCTTTGAAATTCAGTTTCAGATGCAATGAACAAATTTCGATTAAAAGTGAAGGAGTATGTTTTAGTGTTGTGATTCTACTTAAGAGTTTAGAAGTGTCATGTTGATAATTAGTTGTGTTTGTTGCTGGCTTGTAAAGCAATAAAACTGTTTTTGGTCTCTTTGTAAAGTAGTGTGCTGCTGTTTGAACTCTTCTCTATGGAGAATCAATTGTTCATGATCTTGGAGGCTGAAGAAGCCTGGAGTGGTAAGCCTGAGCTGTTGTGTCATGGTGACACCAACCAAGACACTAGCCACTCACAGGGCTTTAATGTAAGTACAGATAATGTCTCTGTGATCTACCTCCATGAGGAAATTAAAGGTGTTTGAATTGAAGATGTTATGAAATACTGCCTCTGGTTTTAGTATATCTTTTGTTTTAATGACCTGTGGATTAAACTCGGGTCACATGTGTTAAGCATGCATTCTACCACTGAGGTACACAGCTCCCAGAATTATTTATTTTTTGAGATAGGGTTTCCTGTAGCCCAGTCTGGCCTTCAATTTTTTGTGTAGCTGAGGGTGATTTTGGACTTCTGACCCACCTGCCTCTACCACCTGAGCGCCCAGTTTGCAGGTGTGTTTCATAACCTGGTTTATGTCATGCTGGGGATCAAGTCCAGGGCTTTGTGCTTGCTAGGCAAACATCTTACCTATTGATGTATAGCCCCAGCCTCAATACTGTTTTCCAGTTTTAGAAAACTAGGTAGGGCAGCTGGAGAGATGGCTCAGCAATTAAGAGTATGTGTAACTTTCAGAGGATCTGAGTTGGGTGTCCAGCACCCATGTCAGTGTGGTGGCTCAACTGCCTGTAAATTGTTTTTATTTATGCAGTGCTTACTACAATGGCCTTGACAGTTAATCTTGGTTGTCAATTTGACTGGATCAGTTGAAAGACACATCTCTAGTTGGGTCCACCAGAGTACTTCCAGGAAGGGCTGACAAAGGAGGAAGACCCTTAGGCATCTCTGACAGTAGCTCTGCTAGCCTTCACTCCCTGCTGGTGAGTGCATCCCCTCTGCTGCTGCCAATAGCTGTCACTTTAACTGAAGTCAGACCACCGCGTCTTCAGCCTTCCAGTGCTCACTGAAGAGCAGTAGCTCTCAGGAACCCTCCAGGCCTTTCTTTGCTACTGGAGCATCCAGACTTGGGGTATTAAGCATCCACAGTGTATAGACATTTACTAGTAAACTAAGACAATCTAGTAAACCCCTTATAATTTATTTTTTTAAAAAAATTACTTCAGGCTTGGGAAAAGCCGTAATGTAGGGTGTGACTAGAAAGCTGCAGCTGAAAGAAGAAAATCAGCTCAGTCCCAATAAAGAAAGCTTCAGAAAGAACCCAGCTAAGCAGCTGTTTAGCCTACCCAAGAGCTAGGATATGTCTTTCTAGGTGCCTTTCTCTTAAAAAAAAAAAAGAAAGAAAGAAAAGAATTTATTACAGCTTATTTATTATTTGTGTGCACATTAGTGTATAAATCAGAGAACAACTTATGGTAGTCTATTCTCTCTTTACACCATGTGGGGTCCTGAAAATTAAATTCGGGTTACAGGGCTTGGTAGCAAATGCTTTCCCACTGAAGCATCAACAGGCCCTTTTCTTTTTCAGTTTTGTTGTTGTTGTTTTAAAAGATTTTTATTTTAAATTATGTGTATGCATGTGGATGCAACTACCCAGCTATTGGCAGCAGCACAGGGGATGCACTCACCAGCAGGGAGTGAAGGCTAGCAGAGCTACTGTCAGAGATGCCTAAGGGTCTTCCTCCTTTGTCAGCCCTTCCTGGAAGTACTCTGGTGGACCCAACTAGAGATGTGTCTTTCAACTGATCCAGTCAAATTGACAACCAAGATTAACTGTCAAGGCCACTGTAGTAAGCACTCATAAATAAAAACAGTCTCATCACACATCCAGACTGTTGAAGTAGCATAAAACTGCTAGTACTGGTTGGTTGAATGAAGATGGGCTGGCTAACTCAGGTGGGGATTGGAGGTCTGGAGGGGTCACTGGTAGATAAAAGTGTTACCCTCGGATGTTTTGGGCTGATACTGTATAGTGGCTAGCTGGTTGGTCAGAAGTGGGCAAGCTCCATGGAGATTGAAGTGGCGAGCCTCAGCTAAGTGCATGGTTTAATGAGTTAGGGCCTGGGGAGATGGCTCAGTAGCTAGCTGCACAGGTTTGAGGACATGAATTCATATCTCCTGAACCAAGGTAAAACAAACACTAACTGGGTTTGGCTGTCTGTGCCCATTGCTCTAGTGATGTTTAGGATGGATGGGAGAATGGCCAGCTGCCAACTCCAGGTTTAATGGGAGACCTTGTCTCGGGGAAGGTCACGGGGAAGAGCAGGACACTTGACATTCTCCTCAGGTCTCCACCTGTACACAGGTACACATACTGGGACTTACATGTGAGCAGATGCCATATACCACTCCCAGAACAAAACAACTCAACCCCATTAGGCAGAGGAAATACATTTTAGGGAAGTTGTCAGAAAAATGGGCATGGTTGTCACAGAAACCAGTAGAAGATGTGGTTCTACAAAGTTTTGGGACAAGAGTTACTTTTTTTTTTGTTTTGTTTTGTTTTTCGAGACAGGGTTTCTCTGTATAGCTTTGGCTGTCCTGGAACTCACTCTGTAGACCAGGCTGGCCTCAAACTCATAAATCCAGCTGCCTCTGCCTCCCAAGTGCTGGGATTAAAGGTGTGCGCCACCACCGCCCGGCCAAGAGTTACATTTTATTTAGCAGTTTGTCAGCTCTCTACGTGTTTGTAGTGCATTCTGATTTCTGTCTCCCTCCCACCCCTATTCCCCAAGCTCCAGCCCATCCCAGGTCTGTGTCCTGTAACTCATGACTGCCCCACCCTAGGCTACTTGAAGGGTTCCAGTAGGCCTGAGTGATTGTCCCCCTTTTCTCCTTTCCCTCTTTTCTGCTGAAATCCTTTAGATTACATCCCTAAAGCTAGCCCCCAAAGTCCATTCTCTTATTTGACAACTGACTCGTTTCTGAGACAAAACACCAAGGCCCAAACAATCAAAATTTGTTTGCCTAATATGTCCAGTTAGGATTTACCAACTCAGGCTAGCACAGACTTCTCCCTCTCCTTTCCCCATAAAAACCTACTCCTGCAAAAAACAACCAACCAACCAACCAACCAACCAACCAAAACAAAACCCAAAACACCCGACCTGCTTGCTGTCTGGTTTTGCAGCATCTCCCCTACTACTTGCCCCTCTGGGGTAATAAATCTTTGTGTTGGTAACTTGGTGTCTAGGTGTGTCCTATACTGACTTTGAAGGGGCCAGCCTCCCTTGTATTTCTATTACTGTGATGAAACACTGTGACCAGTAGCAAATTGGGGTGGAAAGGGTTTATATGGCTTGTACTTCCACATCATAGTCCATCACTGAAGGAAGTCAGGGTAGGAACCTGGAGGCAAAAACTGATACAAAGGCCACAGAGGGGTGCTGTTTTACTGGTTTGTTCTTTAGGGCTTGTTCAGCCTGCTTTCTTACAGACCTCCAGGCCAGAGGTGACCCCACAGACAATGGGCTGGGGCCTCTCCCTTCAATCACTAATTAGGAAAATGTCCTACAGGCTTGCTTACGGCTAGATCTTCTGGAGGCATTTTCTTAATTGAGGCTTCCTCCTCTCAGATGACTATCTTGTATCAAGATGACATAAAAATATCCAGCACACTTTAGAGTCTGTCAGTAGATTACAGTTTGGCAGGGAAGGATCTGATCATGTGACTTCCTATTATTGGCTGTTGATAGACTACTCTTGAGACCCAATAGGCAGCTGCTGTTGCTGTGGGATCACGATCGCATGGGCTGTGTCATCCCCACAGGGTAGCACTCCATGACTCTCCCTGCATTTGTGTGCTGCAGTGGTACCTGTGGAGGATAACTTGCAGGAGCCAGGTTTTTCCACTGGTGGATCCTGGGGATCAAACTGAGGTTGAGAGATTTATAATGTGGCATTTCACAGCCTGAGAACCTTGTGGCTTTTGTCCGTTAGGGTATGTGAGGTGGGCTCTGCTGTATTAACACTGTCAAAGTCTAGGCATTGCTGGTACTTTGATTCTGACTCAGGATCCTGTGAGTGCAGGTTGCTGAGGCTCTGCTTCTATTGTCCCTTAGGCTCACAGCTACAAACCTGACAATAGCCAGTCACAGGGAGAGGCAAAAAGCTGTGGAAGTTCTCAGACTCATGCATGCTTTAGTTTGGGAATTGACACCTCACCTTCTTCAGAGTCAGCACCTGTGAGCTAGACTCATGGCCTATAAGAAGCCAGGAGGTGGAACTGTGGTGTAGGATGCGGCTGGGAAGCTGGTGAGTTAAATATATGATGAAGGTGCGAGCAGAGGTTATTTGGTGTACTTCTGGTCGTACATGAATGATGTCACAGGGCTTGGGTCCCAGGACCACTTGCCTGTGGTGACAAGGTGGATGGATCTGCAGGCAATCTCTTGTAGAGGTTTCCTGTTTGTGAGATAGCAATTGAGCTAGCATTTGTGTTGGGTTTATATGTGTGTTTTATAGTTTTCTTCTTGAGAAAAGTCTTCATATATCCAATGCTGGCCTTCAACTTGTTATTTAGCCAAGGATGACCTTGACCTACTTGATCTTCCTGATGTGATAGCTAAGGAAAACTGCCTGATAAGCATCTGGAATTGGAACCCCATGCTTTTGGTCTAGGTCCTTTTTCATATATACATGAAAAAGAGGAGGAGACTGTAAAGTCCATAGAAAATTACCCCCTGACCCCTCCCTTCCCAGAAAGGTGAGGCCACACAGTCCCCCCAAAAAATACAAGATCCCTCCCTTTACAAAAAGGGTGAAGACACATAGTTTCAAGAAAAACCTTGGGTTATCAGACATATGGAGCCCTCCGACAACAGATAGCTCCCTGTTAGAGGGTCCCTCACAGCCCATCAATGCCAACCGACCAGTTTATTGCCAAAAACGCCTGTCCTGTTTTGTGAGCAAGCAGGCCCAATGCATTGGACTAATTAAATCCTCTTGTGATCGCAGCAGTTGCCCTCTGCAAGTTTCCTTCTTGGGGTCCCGGTAGTGTAGCCGTTGGGCTCCACAAAACTACTTGCCAACTAATCCTCTTGTGTTGCTTCTGGTTGTTACTGCAGGTCCTTGTATCATAAACTAACTACTTACATATAAAAAGGGGAGTCATCATTAGATACCTTACATGAATATGAATCAATGATTTGATTCATAGGGGCCAGAGCCAGTAGGGTATGTAGCATCTGAGGACTCCATCTTCAAAGTTTGAGGCAGTTAAGGTCATGCCAGTAATTCTGGGAATCCAAAAGAGCT